AATAAGAGTTTGCAGGAGCTAGGCAGAGCAGTAGAGGACAGGGGGCCAGGAGATGTTTCATGCATAAATTCACCATGGGTTGAGACCGACGCAAAGGCAGTTAACAACAACAAATACATACACACACATGCATACAGATCTGGATAAAATCATTATACCCAAATTATACCCAAATTCTTTAATTAACTCATTTTCACGCTGGATGGATGGAGCCTTTTGTGGAGGAATCCAGTCCCTATCAACCCCAGACAGCACAGTCCATGGATGTGGTATTTGGGGATGATGGGAGTGGTAGAAGCAGTTTGAAAAACATCAGATGGGTGAAGGTTTCCTAAACAGCAGAAATGCCAAGATTTCAAATCTCTGTTCTGCATGCAATGCAAAACTGTCACCAAGCCGTGGTCCCCTTTCCGCAGTGATAGTAAGAGGCAGCTCTGGTCTATTTCAGGAGGTTAAATATATATATATATATAATAAAGGAGGTCCCACCAGGATCCCAAAGACATGTCAGGTTAATGGTGTCTCTGTAGCTAAACTGCTCAAGTTAGGGTAAAAGCACCTCTCGTGCCATTCTTGTCGCATTTGATAAGTGTCAAATCAAGGTTCTCCTGAGTCCGTCAAGGTCACTTTCAACATGTCACAGTTGGACAGGCTGCCTCGCTCCACTTCGTTTGCAATTTTCTTCCTTTCGTGTTTGCTTATTTTGATTTTAAGTAGCGTGGCACCCACAGAAAACTGCTGCCTATGCATCCAACTCAAGGAGAGAAGAGGTTGGTTTTAGGGCCTTTTCACATTACACAGTTGTAGCACTATGATACCACTTCCTTTAGAATCCTGGGATTTGCAGTTTAGAGGCAGGTATAGTGGCCCCTTGGTATCCACTAGGGTTTGGTTCCAGAACCCTCCATGGATACCAAAATCCGTGGATCCTCAGGACCCATTAAATACAATGGCACAGTAAAGTGATGTCCCTTATATGAAAAGGCAAAATCAAGATCGGCTTTTGGGAATGTATATATGCTTGAATCCATGAATAAAAAATCTGCAGATACAGAGGGCCAACTGGATTTGGAACTGCCGGAGTGCTTTTAGAGTGGTGGGTTCCAAACCTTGGTCCTCCAGGTGTTTTGGACTTCAACACCCAGAAGCCCCAGCCAGCTTGGCCAACTGTCAGGAACTCTGGCACCTGAAGACTAAAACATCTGGAGGACCAAAGTTTGGGAATAACTGTTTTAGAGCCTTGCCAAACTACATGGTCCAGGATCCCATAAAATGCAGGTATGGCAGTAAAAATGGAATTGTAGTGCTTTCACTGAATAATATGAAAGGGACCTCCAACTTCAATTCACAGATCTTCCTTTCCAGATCTTTCAGCCTTCTCCAAAATGGGGTTTTGTTCCAGCAAACCCAGAGCTTGGGGAATGCTGTATGCAGGACATGCTTTCCATCTCCCTTGAGCTAACCAACCTTCCTCTCCTGTCTCACTAACAGCACTCTGGGCCACATTTTGATTTGCAACGTAGCATCTTTATTCCTATGGTTCACTGAAGAACTCCTGGAACTCCTTTGGAACCTGGGGACAAATAAAGGAAACATCAGCTCTCTGTCATTCTGTCTTGGTGTGTATCTACAGCAGTTGGATACCATTTTAAGTGCTGCAGCTCCATCCTATGGAATCCTGGGATCCATAATTTTACCAAGCTGTCAAAGCGGGCTGGTGCTTCACAAAACTATAAATCCCAGGATCACGTAGGAGGGAGCCGTGGCAGTCAAAGTGGTGTCAGACTGGGATGATTTCTACAGTGTAGATGCCCCTTCTGGTCCCTTTCACACTGCACAACATTGAGAGCGTGTGACTCACCCAAAGTCACTCAGTAAGTTTCCATGGCCGAATGGGGATTCGAACTCTGGTCTCCCTATGTCATAGTCCAACACTTGAACCAGTACACTACACTAGCTCTACAACTTTGTCATTGTTGTTGTGTGCCTTTAAGTTGCTTCCGACTTATGGTGACTCTCATGGAGTTTTCTTGGAAAGATTTGTTCAGAGTAGGTTTCCCATTCCCTTCCCCTGAGGCTGAGAGTATGTGCCTGGCCTAAGGTCACCCTGTGGGTTTCATGGCTGAGCTAGGAACTGAACCATGGTCTCCAGAGTCATAGTCCAACACTCAAACCACTACACCACACTGGCATTCCTACCTATGTGCGTATAACAGGATGCTGCTGAGCTATGCATTTTTGCCCATTTTGTGATTGTGAGAGCAGATTTTCTTGGATGCTGATCACTATGCTTTCCCTCTGGACACAGAAAGGCTATACTGGAAGGGAACTAAATTGTTTACCTTATCGTTATTTTTCAGGAAAAGTTCATATGTGGTACAGGCTTTGGAGATCAATTCATCCGCATCCAGATCTATGATGTTATTGCATAGCTGCCCAGGGAAGAAAAGTGACAATATCACTATCCCCAAATCAGTGCTTCTCCTGCTGCAATGCATTTTGTTTTATTTGGAGACAGAATAGCCTTATGTACCCTGATGCCTTTCAAATATTCTGGACTACAGCTCCCATCACCCTGAGCCAATGTAAACCCTATGAGTTATTGGTTTGGCCCAGTGGGTGGAGGAGACTGAACTTGCTGGTTGAGGTTGCATCTATCTGCACTGCAGAAATAATCCAGTTTGACACCATTCTAACTGCCATGGCTCAATGCTATAAAATTCTGACATTTGGAGTTTTGTGAGACATTTAGCTTTCTCTGTCAGAGAGCTCTTGTGCTACAGCAAACTAAAATTCCCAAAATTCCATAGCATTGTGCCATGGCAATTAAAGTGATATCAAACTGGATTATTTCTGCAGTGTGGATGCAGCCTGAGTTAAGAAAAAGAGGGATTTTAGAGGAGCTGGAGAAGAGTTGCAATTGCCAGAGTCCTCTCCATCTTGAATAAGGAAATGGTATTCTCAGTTAATATTTAAGAGAGGGGAAAATTGGTAAATTCCTTATAGTGGGATTTCAATTAGGCATTTTCTCCTGTTTTGTATTTAGGGCTTTGGGAGTTGCATTTAAATTTTGCAATATCTGAGCAGCACAGGCAGAAGAGTCCTGCAGTCAAGTCCAATACTGGCACCACATTTGAAGTTTGGAACATTTGGGACAATGTATATATGTCAAATTTAATATACAAATTGTTATGCTCTTTGTTAAAAATACAGATTGGAATTTAAATTGCAATTAAGCATTCGGTCTAATCTGCACTGCAGAAATAATGCAGTTTGGCACTGCTTTAACTGCCCTGGCTCCATCCTATGGAATCCTGGGCTTTGTAGTTTGTTGTGGCACCAGAGTTCTCTGACAGAGAAGGCTAAATAGCCCACAAAACTACAGATCCCAGAATTCCATAGCATCGAGCCATGGCAGTTAAAGCAGTGTGAAACTGCATTATTTCTGCAGTGCAGATGAGACTCCCATTATAGTTGGCTCCACAAAACCCAGGAGGAGGTACACCAGCACAGCCAGTTATCAGCAGCATGGGAGTTGTGGGCTAAAACAAAAAGACACATAAGAATGGAACCATAATCCTCATGGGTGAAACCAAGGTTCATCTAGAAGACAAGCATGGAAGACTTGCAGCCTTCCTAGAAAAATTAAGCATTGGTAGGTCAGACTGAAGTATCATATAATCCTTAGTGGAAGATGTAGGTAGAACCTTGATATTAACCAGATACGTTCTGTAGGATTTCTTCCAGTTCTGCAACTTCATGGTTTCATACTAGCTAGAGTTCTCAAAGGCAGCTTTCTAGGATATGCAGTTATAGGTGAGAGCCCAGGGCCAAACCCTTACATTGAACCTCATATTACTTGCTTAGATGGGAGGGGAGAATCATGTCCTCCTTCCAGATGTCACTGAATTGCAAATCCTGGCTAGGGCTGCTGGAAGTTGCAGTTCAACAGCAGCTGGGGAGCCACATGATTCCCACCTCTGAATTGGATCAATGCGATGCTTGGACACTGCAGTTTCCTGCCAGCTTTCCTTACCATTAAAATGTCATCTCCACTCATGTCCTCTTTGATGATCTGATCTCTCACCGTCTGCAGTATCGTGTAGGCTACTATCACCTGGAAGTTCCTGCAGGGCAGTCCAGTCAGAAATACCTGAGAGAAGACCAAGCCAAGCGAGAATCGGTGGATGACACCACAAGGCTCCATCCCTTGTCATCTCTGCTTAACATTGATGGCATTTCACCTTTCCCGTTATTCACTTCAGGTTGTCTGCATCATGAAACCAATACTATTCCATGTAAGACTTCAAGAAGGATGATAAAACAAATTGATCCAAGCTGGAAATGTGATATCACACCTACCAAGAGTATGTCCTACACAGGTCAAATGTATTGGCTTCCCAGCGCCTTTGCATCATCCTGTCCAGATGACTCAAAGGCCCAATTTAACTGCAGCCTGTTTTTTTTTTAAGCTTTTTAAAAATTCTATTAATAAAACATATCTAAACAGCTTCATATTGACAGTTATTCATTTTCTGCATCATATTTAATTCATTATATTTATATGAAAATTGACCGTGTGTGAAAAAGTGATAAATCCAATTCCTACTACTTCTGCAAGTACTAGGTTTCTATTACATCTGGTTTCATAGAACATTGGTTTAGCTCAACCTTCACAATTTCTGATTCACCAAACTTTTTGCAGTCTTAACAGCTTGAGGTCTATTAAGCACAGCTCTTAACAAAATTCTTCTCTAATTTACTTATTTATCTAGCTATCCCATTTCTTTTTGCAAAATTCTGCAAAAGGGAAGGGAGATGCGGTATCAAAGCACTATAACATTGTAATGTGGATAACACCCCTGGACTGTGTATGGCGATTCACCATCTCTCCTCCCTGCTTTGGTACAGTGAGTGCAAGACACTGCCATGATATGAACTAACTTGGACTTCTTTTTGAAAGCTGTTCACAGAGAAAGCCAAGGATTTCTTCTTACCAACACAAAAGGAGCTTTGTCCTCCAAACAGCTGGTTGGAAGAGCCTATTCAGCAGGAACAGTGAATGTGGAGATGCTCAGTCTCTGCAAATATTAATTGAAATAAGAAAAGCTGCTGGGGAAGAGGATGGAGATCAAGACAGCTAAACAAATGGCTGTGGTCTGGTGGGTCAGAAATATTGCAGTTCCAGCAATCTCAGTCTCTGTCTGGGACTTGGCTTAAAAGGAAAAAAAGGTTGGAGAGGAAATGGAGGGGAGCAGCTAATGCAGAGCAGCTGTAGAGCTGGCATGGGTCACTGGTGCCCCAGTAGCTTTGGGGCACTGGCATGCATGGCAATGCTGCCTTTCCTCTGCTAATGCTGCCAGGTCCCCTAAACTTTGCCCAGAGAGTTAACAAAAATGCTAGCAGAACTAAAACAGACTTCAGTTGTAAAAATCCATTTCCAAATCTGCCATGTGAATGGAGTTGTATTTTGCTCCTTAATATGCTTCCAAATATGGGTTGCAAAGATTATTTTAAAGAAAATCTACATGAGTGGTTCCCAACTTTTTTCTGTGCCCTACACCACTAGGACATGTTTTACTAATGTTTGCAGTCTTTACAAAAGTAGTATCACATTTGAAGATGAAGAAGTCTAATTTCTAATTTTTTAACCACCTACAATTCTGTGGGTGAACAAAGTGAACTTAAAAAAAAAATTAAGCTTTTAACTCAGTACATAAAATGCAAATCTAAATGGAGCAATTAGATTCTAATATATTCAGAAAAAAATGTAAATAGTAAAATTAATTGAAATTGTGAATATAAAATTCAATCACTTCTTTGCTCCTGCTTCTCATTCATGATTTTGTCAAGACATGGAACTTCCTTGGTGACTGTGATCCACAGGTCTACCTGTGGATTCAGGTGATTCCTAGATTTTGTCTTGATTGACAAAAGAAAACTGAATCTGGATTAACACAACTGATTAACTTTTCTACATCTTTTCATCTGTTTGTCCCTCTTCTTTCTTCTCTCCCCCTATTCGGCTTCCCATCCCTTCTCTTTCTCTTTCATCCTTCCTGGAAGCTCTTGGTGGCATGACTATTGCTGTTTTGGATTGTTGTTATTGTTAACTGCCTTTGTGTCAGTCTCAATCCATGGTGACCCTATGGATGAGACTTCTCCAGGCCCCCCTGTCCTCTACTGCTCTCCCCAGCTCCTGCAAACTCATATTCATGGGATCTTTAATAAAGTCCATTCATCTAGCATGTGGCCTTCCTCTCTTTCTACTCCCCCCCACCTTTCCCAGCATTATTGTCTTTTCCAAAGAGTCCTCCCTTCTCATGATGTGTTCAAAGTACAACAGTCTAAGTCATCTTGGCTTCTAGGGATATCTCTGGCTTGATCTGCTGTAGGACCCATTTGTTTGTCCTTTTGGCTCTCCATGGGATCCTGAGCCTTCTTCTCCAGCCTCACATTTTCTCAAATGCATTGGTTTTCTTCCTATCCTCTTTCTTGACTGTCCAGCTCTCACATCCATCCATGGTAATAGGGAATATGATGGCTTGTATGATTCTGACTTTTGTGCTGAGTTGTATGCCTTTGCATTTTAGGATCTTTTCTAGTTCTTTCATAGCCACCCTCCCCATTCTTAATCTTCTGATTTTCTGGCTGCAGTCCCTATTCTGATTACTGTTTGATCCCAAATATGAGAACTCTTTTACTATTTCTATTTCTTCATTGTCTAGGTTGAACTTGTGAAGGTCCTTGGTGGTCATTATTTTTGTTTTCTATATGTTCAACATTTAAGTCTGCCTTTGCACTTTCTTCTTCGGTCTTCCTTAGTAGTTGTTCCAGGTCTGTGAGGTTTTCTACTAGTAGAATGCTTTCATCAGCATATCTTAGATATTCCTTCTTCCTATTTTCACTCCTCCTTATTCTGTGTCAAAGCCTGCTTTTCTTATAATATGTTCATACAAGTTGAACAGATAGAGTAAAAGGATGCATCCTTGTCTGACTCCTTTGCCAATTGAGAACCATTCTGTTTCTCTGTCTTCTGTTCAGACAGTAGCCTCTTGTCCTGAGTACAGATTCCTCATCAGGACTATCAGATGTGTTGGCAGTTCCATGTCTTTAAGGGCATTCCATTGCCTTTCATGCAGTCAAAGTTTTGCTATAGTCTATAAAGCGCATGCTGATTTTCTTTTGGAA